ATACTTGAGCATAAACGTTCATTAGCAACCTGAATTTGCAAAATGAAAAGGCATATATTTTGAGATAATGAACTTTTCTAGAGCTAATTTTTATATATTCAGTTATTCTAGATACTCTGAAAAAATTATACCTAAAGACTTTTTTTTTGTATCGAAATAATCATTAAAAACCTAGCGTTAACAATATGACTCGTAGAAGAATATTTACTTTCATTTCATAAATTTTAGTTTAAAAAAGTCTAAGTGATAGCAACATGCTCGAAAACTAATAATTAATACATTTCTGTAGACCACACTCTTGAGACTAAACAATCTCTATCGAAAGTTTTTCTGAGCGTGCATAGATTTTTCAAAAATTTGAATTTACTTTTCGTTCGCGCAACATAGAAAACTTCGTCAGAATCAATAGATAATGATAAGAGAAAAAACTTTTGTTTTGAAACTCGATAGGATGTATAGAAAATCAATTTTGAAGAGGAAAATAATTATTAATTATAATTACACATCAATTGAAAGAGGTAATATTTTTACGTATGCCTATAGTAAAAAAGAACTTATACAGAATAATTTCTATTTTTTTTTTGTTCTTTTTACTTTCAATTAGAACGATTATATTTTATTACAGATAATATAATAATGGTAAAAACAATGAAAGAAATTCTTATTGATGCACAAAATGAAGTTGAAAATATCTCCATAGTTTAATATTAGCATTCATTTATTTAAGATATATGAAATACAAGGAGAATTATCTTCAGTAGAAAATGATCTACAATATTATCATCTAGTCGGAAAAAATACGAAGTAAACATAAGAAATTTATAAAAATAGTTTCTAGATTTCTTATTCTTTTTTCAATGTAGACAAAATCTTCATGAATATAGATAGAAAGAAAGAAAACTGTAATAGGTACTGATCACCGATACCTTCTACTGATCAAAATAATGAATTTAATCGTATTTAATATACAGCTATATTTTGTAAGAATGCAATGTATAAAACAGTACGTCATAACAAACTGTATTAATAATTATATCGCAATATTTATATCTTTGAACAAATACTGCATTATGTTATTTGTTTTCAACTTGTATTTATAACAAAGCAATATATGAGACCCGATATTGGAATTGAAAATGAATAGTCCTATGAAACAGCATCACATTTTTATCTAAAAAGATTAGATTATAATAATATGATGTAAAAAAAAAACTTTTTAAAAATTTTTCAATTCAAGTGTAAGTGTTCCATGTTTATACTAAATATCAAATACTGTTTTATTTTTGCTATCGTTAAACAAAAATGTAAATTCTTATGATTGGTAGCTTGAGTGAATTTTGCATGGAACATTGAACGAATACTTTCAAAACTTTGTTCAATTAGAGAACAAATAGATAAGGCTGAGATATTCCATAGACTAGTATGTAAACTGAATGTTAAAAATCAAAGCTCATTTTAATAAAGAAGGGTGTGGGTGGTTGTACGTGTGAATGAAAATAAGAACTACATGCACACCCTCATATTGGGCACAAAATAAAACTCTGAAAAAGATGATGTATGCATTCGCTTGAACATCTGAAACAGTTAGGTTACTTTGAATCAATCGACAACAATGACTCAGTTTTGTCCGAATTCACAGAAAAAGGTGCAGAATTTATATAGAATATTGTAGCATATTTTAAATTTCAACAGATTCGTTTCTAAAAACTCTCTTTAATTTTTTCGCTTTTTTCACGTTCGCACTCAACTTTGCTGTGACGCGAAAAATCTATTCGAAAAACAAAGACGACATTTTTTGTAGGGAACCAAGTACTCTCTTAACTGACATAAAAGTCAAAGTTTTCAAATAAATTGTTAAATGCTTCAAAGATAGGAAATAAAAATGAGTCATTTGTAGTGCAGTATCTGTTATCTTCCATTTTCAGAGAAAAATTTTATAATTTTCCAAAAGAATCTTGAATTGAATTTTCTACCGAGGGAGGTTTGTCATTTTAGCGCCAGATTCTGCACGTCTGGTAAGAAGAAATCGAATTCTTTTGACAAACAGTGATATAATAATAGTAAAACTGCATTTGAAGGATACAACATATCTAATAATCATCTTTGTTTTCTTTTAGCCTTTTCAATAATGAAATATATGAATAAAATTTAGTTTAAATTAAAAACAACTTCATGAATTATTTAGTTTTTTTTCATTGAGCTTACATAATTAGTTAAATTTGTACACAAAACTTTCTATATAGAGAATAAAACAAACGACTAATCGATCAAATTAATATTTATAACTTACAATCAAACTATATTTTCGGCATATGTCATAATAATAAGAATGAATAGATAATTGAGAAAAAAAAGACGTTTTTCTTTCATAGGTGTTGAGTCGATTCTTCAAGTCAATGTTGTTGTCGATTAGTAGATAATGATGAGCTAAAACTTGTTAGCATTGGACATATGTAGTTCAGATAAAGAAGATTGACTAGTTGTTAGTTGACAAGAACAATATGGTATTGATACTCTTTATGTTTCAAATATAAATAAATAATGAATGGATGTGGATGCAATCAATTTTGATTGAGTGTCATGATGATAATTAAGATCACATAGTTTTTGTATTTTACTATTGCTATTGATAGCGTAGCAAAGGTATAGAGCTGAAGAGATATACATGATTTTGATTTCAAATAGTTATAAAAATTTCGTGCAGAAAAAGGTTCTTTACAAATCAATTACTTTCTTCGATGTGTCATTTGAACAATACAAGCACATCTATCCGCGTATTCTCGGACTCTTCGTTCTCGGGATTATCGCAATAGAAAATGATAACGTTCAATGCTGACGTCTAGTAGGTAAAAAACACAAACAAACCTTGCAAAAGACTGCATAAAAGCGATATGAAGCGATCTTAATTTTTGGCAGTGGAATTTCAATTACCATAAAATAATGATAAACAATTTCACCAATAGTCGATTCTGTCCTGTCGAAGGTTTCCATTATTTCTCCTACTAACAACAACTGACTGGAGATTATTTCACCAATTTTAATTATCTCGGGTAAAAGTTGGAGGCCAAATCATCAAAATCAGTGTTTTGCGGAACTTACGGAAGAAGAAGGAAAACTCATATTGAAGATTCAAAATTGTTTGAGGCATCTCAAGATATCTATCTCCCTGACATAGTTCGACCGAATTTCTATCAACTTACCTTTCTCTAAAACATCGCGACACAAGGTACAGATTTTGTTACCGCAAAAAAGGGTGTGGGTTGGGTGTGGGTATGGGTGTGGGTTGGGTGTGGGTAT